ACACACACACACACAGACAAACGCGCGCGCACAGGGCGATAACGACATTCTTAGGGCCTTTTTCCCTGTCAAAGCGCACAACTTTCGAATTAAATGCATCACTTCCCATTACCAAACGCCGTGTTTCCAACCAACAGAGATATTGACAAGGAAGAAGAGAGCAATCACCATGAACGAAAGCGCCGTCAGCAAATCACCTCAGAATGGATCATCCACATATGCACGTCTGCCAACCCTCCCCTGTGGTGCAGTAATTTTGGCAGTTTCACCACCGCGCCCCCTCATGTGGTGAGCCAGTGGGATATCGTTGGGACGTACGCTACATTTGAACAGGTAAATCGGCGCGAGGTTGAGGCATTAATTTCACCTGATTTTACCAGTAGAAGCTTAATTTTCTAAAATTTTGTTCGGATTTTTGACATCTGCAATACTGTACAGTAGTTCTACATTTCAAATGGTGTAGATCGATGCAAACGGTCCTTATTTCCAATAAGCAGATAAAAAATAAATAGATTTACATGTAGATAGATAAAAATAATGAGATCGATAGATACATAAGGGGCAAAAAAGAAAATAAGCAAACAGGCAAAACTTTCATAAATAGTTACAACAAAATTAGGCGTCGAAAGAGCTTTAACATTTTGTAACATACCTTTAAGACAATAGTAAATTCAAGCTAGTATATATTGTATGTGATCTTGTGAACCATTTTTGTATTTCGCTCCAGGTGAACACGTGGTTGGCCAGTAAAGCTTCCCAGCACAGCACCATTGCCTCCCTGGAGAGTATCGGCAAGACGTACGAAGGCAGAGACATGAAAGTTCTGAAGGCAAGATTTCATACCCGTGTTCATTTCCAAATCCCATTTATTCATTTGCGGATCAGATTTGTATATACATACATATAGAGGTGGAAAGTAATTATTTTAGCCTTATATGATATATGCTTATCTTTTGAAAATTTATTATACAAAAACTACTAACGGTAAGATAAATAGTTTTGAAACTACTATGAAACATTTTCATAGTAAAGAAAAATTATTATACAAAAACTACTAACGGTAAGATAAACATTTTCATGATATATAATAATAAATAATTAAACATGCGTGCATTAAACTTCCGTTATTTTATAAAAATATCTGAAACTTTTCACCTGTTCATTTAAGATCGGAGAGGCCGCTAACAAGCCTGCTATCTGGATAGATGCCGCGCTCCACGCCAGAGAATGGATCGCCTCAGCCACCCTGATTTACATCGCCGATCAGGTACACAATATATATTACATTATAAAAGACAACATAGGAAATCTCTGTCCAAAGTAATTGTGCACAGCTTCGAAAAAAAAAGTAAATACAAGTAGAATAGACTAAAACATTGATACACAGAGTTTACGCATTAATTAAAGCGGTGTTTTGGCGAAAGATGCTCTTTTTTCAGTTAGGAAGATTTTGTGTCCGTGTAGGATAAATGGGGCCATCTCAAAATATGGGCGATTTTTTCATATTTTGTAAACTTTTATAGGGAAAATTTCAGAATTGCTTTCTTTTCAGCTACTCAATGAATACAGTTCCAACGCCAACATAAACAAGTTTACGTGGTATATTTTACCGATTGCTAACCCAGACGGATACGAATACAGCTATAATTATGTAAGTTTCATGAATATAAAAATATATTTAAACTCTTGATTTGTCAATTAATATGTTCTTCGAAGGGAACAGTGACTAAACCACTGAAATATGTATGCCTTAACATAAAAAATCTTTTTGTAGGATAAATGCATATGATATGTACATAAACCGAAATGGTAGTGTTTGTTGTCTAAAGAAGCAACTTGGATTTTATTTTTCAAAATAAGGTCAATTTAGTTTAAATTGCATTACCTTAATTTCAGAACCGGTTCTGGCGTAAAACTCGTACCAGAAACGCCGCGGACTACAGGGGGACGTGCCCCGGGGTGGACCCGAACAGAAACTGGGGATTCCATTTTGGAGGTAGCGTTCAAATAAGACGCATTTTTTCTTAGATTTGAACTATTTAATGAGTGTAAAAAGTTGTACTGCCCTCTTTATATCAATAATTTAACTAAAAAAGGTGCATTGTTTTATCTTGAAATTCCAGCTTGGAGATAACATTTCAATGCTCTTTCCATGCTCTTTCAACAGTTTAGTTCATCAGCTCTTTGTGCTGCTCTGTTCTTGTACATATCGAATGGCGATGATGTTCAAGTCATTTCTATACTACAGTGGCTGTCAAAATTGCAGCTACTGATGCTAGCTCACGCTTTCACACTGAGCCAGATGAGTATAATTTCAAGAAAAAAATTACGCAAAATTACATGTATGAAACCTCTCAAAGTGTACCGGTACAAATGTACCGATAAAGTATACAGCTTTATTTGAAAATGGTCCTATCTATAAAAACAATTCAGTGTTTTTCATCCCCGTTATACCTGTCGTGTTCCAGAGGCCGGTACCAGCAACAACCCCTGCTCAGACATCTACCGCGGAGAAACCGCCTTCTCAGAGAAGTGTGTCTTCAACATGAAGACGTTCTTGTACAACAAGAGGAAGCAGATCAAGGTGTACATTTCCTTCCATTCCTACGGCCAGATGTTCATGACTCCATGGGGGTACACACACACATCTGCTCCTTCCGACATTCGTGAACTGGTAGGTAGTCATTTCTTCAGTACTCTTTTAGCCCTTTTGCACTTTTTCAAATGCATCAGATACGCTTTTACCTGGGTAAAAATGATCCAAAGAGACATAATCAAACGTTAACTTCTTCAACAACTTCAACTGTTATCTTGTGAACAATATCAAACACAACTAGAGATGTCCAAAAGCCAGATCCTGACTGACTTCTGGGGCTTTTCACATAAAAGGGATGTAATTTTATTTTCTAAGAACGGCACTAGCAAAAACTACCTGGTCGCCATTTTTTTCCTTTTTATTTCAGACGAGGGTGGCAAACTTAGCTAAAACGGCCATCAAAAATGTGAACGGAAAAAGTTACAGTGTCGGATCACCCGGAAGTCTTCTGTGTATGTAAACATTTATTATTTATTATTTCAGTATATTTTTCATATTTTACTAGAACAAAGACTTACTCTAGCATACATGTGCTCGTCTAAAGTGCAATTTCGTCACATTTCACTGTTGCCATAAAGAAGTGGGTCGCCCAATTATATAATGGCTATACATTCTTCATTCCGTAAATTTATCCTGAAAGTCTTCAGTTAATTTTATATTGAAATACTATGATTCACAGTAAATACTGTTAGTTTTTTTTAAAAAAATACTTCTTAGGACCAAAGTACTGTACTTGATACATGTATTGTGAATATCATAAAAACACACTACTTTGTGACAGCGAGAAAAACGATGTTGATGAAAACGCTTATTGCAATGTCGATGTAAGGTGTTCAGTATTTCGTTACATAGCAATAGCTATTATCTCTATTTTTAAATCATTCTGTATATCACTTTACAAGCAGACGATGCAGCCGGTGGGTCTTTCGACTGGGCGAAAGGTGTCGCTGGCATCAAGTACGCGTACACACTGGAGCTGCGACCGGCTGATAACACCTCTGGAGGTTTCGCCATCCCTGCCTCTGAGATCTTGCCCACTGGGAGAGAGACTTACGCCGCCGTCAAGGAGGTAGCCAAACGGGTGACCGTCTAATGAAGCCGAATGTGTCTCGATATGTTTAATAATTCTGCGTCTTGATTTAAAGTTTGAACGTTTTACTTTCTTCACGAAATTTAAGGTATACCTCACAAAGATGTCACTCCGTGACCTTCCTCAGTGTCTGTTATCGTGAGACTTAAAGTAGAAAGTGAAAAGTTTTAACTTATGAACATTATCAATAGACTACACATAAAAATGAATTTCCATCAGAAAACTGCGTCTTGAGTGTTTGAAATCAAAAGCATTAAAGGAGGTACCAATATGTCTGAATGATCAAGATTTTTTGAGAAGTTAAAGTATAAACGCCGATATGTCTTTTTCCGTTTTTTTTT